TGTGCCACGCATGGCTTCTTCAAAGCCCAATAGGTCACGCAGCGCAGGCCCTGGGCGACCGAACGCGCGGGCTGGCACGGGGAGGGGCGCGCATCCAACTTCGCAACCATGCGAGGGCAACGGCGCAGTTGAAGCTCTAAGAACAAGATGGTCGGAGGGACGCAGAGTCTGACACTCCGACAGCCCGGCGCGCCCTTGCAATGCTGTCGTGAAAGGAGCGCAAGTCAAACAGGCCATGACCACGGAGAAGGTTGAGCCCCACGCGCATCTCCTCCTCGAGCGCCCGCGCAAAAGCCTCTCGAAGAGCGCCGTCGTCGGGCGCCGCAGCGCCCCGCCCGCGGCGGCTCTTCGTCCAGCGACCGCCCCCGCGTCTGGGGTCCTCGCGCCATGTTCCGCAGGCGGTGGGGCATGGCGATCAGCCCCGCGGCGCGGTCGCCCCCAGCCATCTTGGGCAGCGGGCGGCCGACCGCGGTCATCGCTTGCCACCGCCGCGACAAGCCCTGCTCGACCATGGCGCACAGGTCGCAGAGCTCCTGCAGCGCACAGTCGGACAAGCGCTCGAAGTCAATCGGCGACGCCCTGTCGATGCCCGACCCCGCGCGCCCCTTCGCGGCGCCCGCGGCCCGCCTCGGCGCCTCCACGGACAGAGACTCGAGCTGCTCCACCTGGGCGCGCTCGCGAGCCGTCGCGGAAGCCCCCTTCGCGCTGGCCATGGCGAGGGGGGCTGCGACTCCCAGAGCTCACGCCACTGGGTAACTTGATAATCAATCATGTCAACTGGGTGGACTAGGCATTCAGAGGCGGCGGCGCCTTGATCCTCCTGCGGATAGTGCGAAGGGGGCCGACCGACGCGATCCACTCCTGGAGCTGCTGCAAGGATGCGGCGGCTGCGCGCCCCTGGGCGCGCTTCGCACCTCGCTCTGGCCAGGCCTCGAGCTCCTTGGGCCACGGCGCCTCTAGGGGCTCGATGCGTCGGCCCTGCTGAACCAGCTCGGCCCAAGTTCCGAACGTAGGACTGCTGACCACCTCCGCGCCCTCGGTCGGGGGCGCCGTCCAGCAACTTGCCCAATGCAAAAGCTAATCGAGCAATCTGGGCAGCACCGTTCAGACGAGTCCGATGCCTGAGAATCTTCCGAATGAGGGCGTGATGGCCGCCCCGCCACGAGCCGACGGCGCCCCTCAGTAGCCGCTCGCGGACGTGGGCCGCCTGGCGAGAGGGGGCCGCCACCAGGTCGAATTTGTTCGCCCTCGACTGCCGCGGCAACTCGGAACCGCCACGCGGCGAGATGGCGTGCTTGACCGCGCGAACCAACGACGCGCACTTGCCACTGACGTGGTGAACGTAGGGTCGGTCAGCATCGACAGCGAAAACTCGCGAATCGCAGGCCGAGCCGAATGCGGAGAATGCGGGTGCCCAGAAGCTTGGGCCACTGCGGCCAAAGACCAGGAGGCAGCCGAGATGGGGAAAGGAGGAGCGGCAACAGCATTGGCCGTGGAATGGGACGCGCTCGGACCAGCTCCGCTGGCCCCATACCCCTGAGGGCGCTCGCAGGGTTAGGCCCCGCGCGTCCCCGACGACGCTGGTTGCTGAGAAGTGATGCGCGCCGGGTAATCAGCGCAAACGCTACCCACCTGGACAGAGACCGAGTCCTGATAATAATAGAACACGACTCGCAGGCCCAAGGATCTTCTTCATCCTCAAACTCGAAACTAGAATGAAATTCCTCCGAGTCAAAACCTTCAGCCTGCGCCTCGCCAAGGGCAACCGACGGCGGGCCAAGGGCGCACCGAGAATCGCCCACCCCGGCGAGCCCCTCGGCGGGGTCCTCCGTGGAGGCGTCAGGCTTCAGAAGGTCGGGGAACAACTCGTTGTGCAAGGCTTCGTTGTTTTTTTTTCGCGCGGGATGTTCAGAACGCCCCTGCTGCTCAATCCTCCCTCGAGTCGTCTTCGAACCAGTTGCGGGGCGCAGGCGAGGCTTAGCTTGCCGTGGCGGCCTGGGCCAAAAGACGAGAGACATGACCATTAACTGCAATCCAGATTGCCGAGAGGCTAGGGCCACCCGCAGCGGGGCTTCCACGGGATGGCTGTCACTGCCTCGATTGTGTATATATATATATATATGTTTATACAATTATCTATGATACAGGGAAAAAAGGCCCACTCTGAATCTTTTTAAGGCTACAGGGCCATGGGGCTATAGCGCTGTAGGGCTATAAGGCTCTGCGGCTCTACTGCTATAGGGCTATCGGGCCATGCGGCTATAAGGGTATAAGGCTAAAAGGATATGGGGCTATAAGGCTATAGGGCTATAGGGCTATAGGGCTACAGGGCTATAGGGCTATTAGGGCTATTAGGGCTATCAGAGCGATAGGGCTATAGGGCTATAAGGCTATAAAGCTACGGGGCTATAGGGCTACCGGGCACCTGCCGAAATCGGCGCCACAGCTAACCTAACCATATGAATCCACTCGGACCCCATACAGAGGCAAGTTCTGATTGGGGAATGTATGGCACGCGTGATCGACTAGCGATGGCATCATCGACGTGAGGCTCACCTGCGCCACTGGCACAGGTAAACCGTTCACTTCAACTCATCAGTCTGCCATCTATCTTCCCAAGGTAAATCGGTTTCACGATTGCTCCAGCCTCCCACGATAACCCGCGCAGGTTGCAAACTGCACACGAAGGCGCCCACGCGCGCCATGCGCCCTGTGTTGCCGCCGCCGAAAATGACCGAGCAGCGGCCGTAACACAGGATGCGCACGAAAGAGTAGCCCTGTCGGTGCACCGCGACAACCATGAAGCCCTGTCGGTGCACCGCGAAACACGGGTAGTCCTTAGCTGCCGCTGCAAGCCCATGGACATGACGATAGTAGCAGCCGTAGGCCCATTGTCTGTCGCCCAGGCTCTGTTGTCCAAGTACTTCCAATGAGGCAACTGTGCCTTCTTGGTCTATTCGTCGCGAATCGACCCCGATCCCCGCACATGCGTCTCCACAAACGCCATGAACTGGCACTGGTAACGAGGCTGCTTGCTCGAGAGGTACGTCCAAGACTGATTGCCCAGGCAAGTGATGCTCGCGAAAAACAACTTGAAAGCGCCATCGGCGGCAGGGTCTTGGTCGCCTGCTGCCGTCGTGGTCGGCTCACTCCCTGGCGAGGCCTAGGAATCCGACCCTTCCTCGGCGGGAGGGGCGGCTCACGTCGCTGGCGCGCCGCCCACGCCGCTGGCTGGGGAGCCCCTGTCTACCGCGTCGGCACCGCCGCTGCCGCTGCCGCCTCAGCCGCAGCCCGCGCCTGCTTGATACGCTCCAGCTCCTGCTGCGCCGCCTCGTCGGAAAGCCCGCGTGTCGCCGCCGGCGGAGCTGGCGGCACCGACTGCGGGGCCCCAGCCGCGCCCGACGCCGCTGTTACCTCGGGCTTGACGTCGTTGCCTTCGGTCGCGGTCTTCTGCTATTTGCTGGCGCGCTCCTCGACCACCCTGTTCATGTCGGCGGGTTTCTCCTTCCACTGGGCTGTGTCGCCCGATTTGCCTGCCAAATCACGCTTGGCGGCAATGAGGTCTGCCTCGAACTGCTTCAGCACCGTGCGCTCGTGTTCCTCTCATTCGACGCTGTCCGGCGAGAGAAGAACTCGGTGTCCCAGGTGAGGTCGACGAACGTCCGGGAGCCTGGTCCATATGAGCCCGTACCAGCGCCTGCGCCGTCGCCCGCGATGCCGAGCTCCAGCGAAAACGCCTTGGCTGCCAACTTCTTGTTCAGCTCCGCGATCGCCAAGAGTTTCAACCCCTCCGGTGCCTTGGCGAATGCGCGCTCAAGGCTCTCGCGACACAGCTTCACTTGTCCAGGCGCCTGCTTGTAGCGCAACGTGGCGTTCTCCCAGGCGCCCTCGACCCGCCTGACAGCCTCGGCGGGCTGCAAGGGTGTGGAGGCCACGGGCTGCTTGGACGCCGCCAGCTGCTGCTCCAGCGACTTCGTCATCTCGGGGTCCTTGGGTCTTCTCTAACAAACTGCTGACCGTGGGGGCCTCGGAGATATCGTCGTTCATCGTGGATGATTGCTGCCCTATTAGCTGCTGACTGCTCCGACGTGGCTTGTGCAACTTGACTGGCCTGTTGCACTTCCCGCATTTCACTTGTGCCTTCAAGAGTGCGTAAGTGTACTCGCCCGTGTCGCAAGCTCTGCACGTGGACGAAGGGCCACTCGACGACATTGCAGAGCTATGGCGCCTCTCCTTGCCAACGGGGCGGACCGCAATCTGATGCAGGAAGCCAGTTGCCCTTCAAGCGCTAAGGGGAAGTGAGAGGCCTCAGCTCGAGACCGCTATCAAAATGATGCGCTCGAGCCCACCCATATTGCTTGAGAAGGAGGCGGAGGAGGAGGAGGAGGAGGCGGAGGAGGAGGAGGAGGAGGAGGAGGAGGAGGGGGGAGGAGGAACAGCAGGATGAAAGGAAAGGAGGAAGGGGAGGGGCTCCTTAACAGCGGGCCGCAATGACATGCCCAAATCTGGCCTTTTCTGGGGTGCCATCGCAGGCCGACGACCCTACCGCACTGGCTGAATTGTCCCTCCACTGGTCAATACTGTCCCCATCCCTCTCCTCATTATCGTCCCCTCTTCCCTCTTGATCATCCCTGCACTCTCTCATTCAGCCTCGATTTCAGAGGCAAGAAGTTACGCCACTTTCACAGACGTGCCCAACTTTACGCAGCCACATGATTTGTTCGTCGATTCCATCCATGTTCTTTTCATTAGGAACAAGCACGGCCCCAGTACGAACAATCATGATGGTCCCAAACATTCATGGTTGCGATCTGGTTGTGCTGCTGCGGAGCATGCTGGCATACATAGAACTGCTTCGACGGGTGATACAGTCAGAAGGGAACCTACATCTCTGGCAATGGCGCGTAGCCAGAGTCAACAAGAAGAGCAATATCGCTCACAGTGAATGATCACGCAGGGTAAAATACAAGGAACATCGTGGCATGCGATCGTCCGTCTGGTCAGAAGCATTCTCCGTCGTCAAACTCGTCTGCGAGGCACTGCTTGTCATCTTCAGGGTCCATCTCGTTGGATGAGTCCAAGCAGTCCTCGCCCCCGCTTCTTATGCGTCCAGCTACAACGGCTCGCTTAAGCATACCGCAAGGAGCGTATGCACAATACGCTGAGACACATGGTGGGCGCTGACGGTGTGCACGATGTGATACAAATAAGCGGACCCGATCGCTGACACCACGATGCGACCTCGGAGGCCCCAGTCGCCCGAGACATCCTCGGAGAACGACCCAAGTCCCAAAACCGTGCGCGAAGACCCAAGGCCCCCAGTCGGCCCCCAGTCGGCCGAGGCATCCTCGGTGGTGCCGCATCTCTACTGATTCACCACACGGTGTGGTCACGGCACCGCTTGATGGGACCCTCGGAAGCAGACCTCGGGAGGGGGGGCTGGCTCAGCCCTGACGTCCTCGCGCCGTGAAGCAATCGCGGAGAACAAAGATTCAATTTTCGACCCCCGAGGGGCTCTCGCTGGGCTCTGGAGGCCGTCCCCCAGACCGCCTCGGGACGAAAGGTCAGTTGCCGGGGGAGGGTCCAGGCGGAGGGGGCACCCTGTGAAAACAGCACGCGCCGTCGGATCTCAGGGGGGGGGGGAGAGATTGGCCCGGGGTCGGTGGCGCATCGCCGCCAGATCGGCGGAGTGGGCCTTGCCCGCAGAGCCACGGGATCCTTGGCGGGCTGTGGCGCCTGGGCCCCAATCGTCGAGGAGTGGGCGATCGGCAGGCCAGGCGGGCATGGCCACAGATCCGTGAATCTGGCACGCGGGCGCGGGAGGGAAGCCGCGCCCCCGAGACACGCAGCCGGTGCCGCCTGAGTTGGGTGCGCCGTGCGCGCCGACTCTTCCATGGGAGCGGGACCCGCCGTTGATGGAATGCGACCCGCGAGGAGATCCCCTCCTCCTCCTCCTCCTCCTCCTCCTCGTCCTCCTCCTCCTCCTCCTCCTCCTCCTCCTCCTCCTCCCTCCTCCTCCTCCTCCTCCTCCTCCTCCTCCTCCTCCATCCATGCTCCTCCTCCCTTTTGCCCCTCCTCCACCTCCTCCTCCTCCTCCTCCTCCTCCTCCTCCTATTCCCCCTCCTCCACCACGTTACAATTGCGTCTCCTCGAGATTGGGAGATCGATGCTTCCCGCCATGGGCCCCCCCGTCGCTGCCTTGGACCTCGGACCGACTGCCCCTGCACCACTCGGGGAGACGTATAAGACTCAACTTCGGGGGACTCGGGTCGGCCTGACGGGACCGTCAAGAAAATGACGAGACCCAATCTAAGACGAACCTAGGACGAAGGCAGATTCGGGTGAAGATAAACCGAGAATCTATGATATCCGGCGGCTCTGGAGGATGTCTCGGGCGCCGCGGCCTTCTCAGAGCGTTCCGGAACGGTCTGAGAGCGTTCCAGAAAGCTCTGGAGCGGATTGATCCTCGTCCTAGCCCCGTCCCGCAATCTGAAACTTGACGCGAACTCCCACTGCAGACGTCCCACGAAGACAGGACAGCGAGAACTCAGGACGGGCCCGCCAGACAACGCGAACCCAGACATCCGGCGCTCCAGCTTTTTTCGATGCGCGGACCCCTGGAGGTCTGGACCACGTCACCAGGCGGCCTGTTCGCCCCGAGTCGTTTTATGATGGTACCGGGGCCCGTTGGGGGTCCTTGAGGCCAAACTTGAGCAGGGACAGACCCTCCTGGCATTCCTATAGGCCTACCCCGACATGCTCTTATAACCCCAAATGTTCTGATAGAAAAACAATGTTCTTAGAACATAAGCACGATACCTTAAAACAAAGCAACATCAGCCAGACATGTTCTCAGAACATTGCGTGAATACCACAAACGGTTACTAGAACATCTTTTGGTGGGCCTATAGGCCAGCCCGGACGCTTCGCCAGTGCTTGACAAATACCAGCCAAAAACTGGCCGCCACAATATCTTCTCTTTTTTTTCTCCAGAGCCTCGGATATCTGGAAAACAACGACTCGTCCCCCCCCCCTGGCGCGCCTCGTCGTCGAGTTCGAACGCTGGCAGCGGCACCGCGAAGGCCTCCTTCGCCTCGGCGGGAGCAGCCCCCCTCACCCCAGCTTCGTTGGTAACTCATGGGGGCCTCCCGTATCATCTTGATGACTCTTGGACGCCAATCGACGCTAAATCGGCAGTATTTCGTCGGTTCCCAAGCGCTAATCGACGCTGGAGCACTCGAACGACGGAAGTACAACCAGGCTAGTATCATGAGAAGCGCTAACCAAGCGCTTGCGTGGACGAGGAGCGTTAGAGAAACAGCCATGGAATGACCTCCACCTACCACTACCTGACCTGACCTCCACTACCACTACCCTGAAGAAAATACACCACCACCTCCATTCTGAGGGATGTGGTGGGGTAAGTGTTGAACCCCCTACTAGGGAATATCGAGCCCTCGAGCCCCTTCCGAACCCAAACTGCTGCTTATTTCAGCGTCTTGACTGTACAAGGCTCCCACGAGCTGCTGCCAGACCCACCCTGGTGCACGCGCCCTCGGGCAGCCGCGCGTGGGTGCCCTGTCCCTGCAGGCCAGACCTTTGAGAGAGGCCGGCCGGGAGCCAAAGGCTCTGAGTGAACAAACGAAGTAAAGTTGGGCGCGAATCCATCGGGGGCCGATACATGGGTGGGAAAGCAAGGTGCCCTTTTCGGGGCCCTGATGGCCCCCCTCTGGGCCCTAACGGTCCCCTTCAGGGACCCTGGAGGGCCCCTTTTCGGCAGCACTCGGTGTCCCACCGATGTATCGGCCTCCCATCGATCGCGGCCCAAGTACGAACGAAACTGCCGTCGTCGGTGTCCCTGCAAGAGAGGCAGGCGCGCCTGCAGCGCGCTGGCCCTCTAAGAGGACCGAGAACAGGCTGCAACATACGCATGCTGATCCAGTGCACGTGCACGTGCCTGTGCCAAGCTTTGGACGGCGTGTCCGCAGCCAGGTTTTTGTCCTTTCCTTGACGAGCGGCAAATGTATCCATGACCGCACCCTCGCAGTCTGGATCCTGGGGCGCGATCCCGCGGCTGTGCGGTCGCATGGATACGTTCCGCGCGGGGCATCCTCTAAAGAAGCGCCCCTTATCTGCGGAGTCGCGGCCCGGGGCCCCGGCCTGCGAAGCAGCGGATGCGAACATGGTTTTCGATCGCGATCCCTACCCGAAACGAAACCCACTGCAACAAGCTCCGCGCAGTCTGGGCGACGAACCCTTACGGGTCTTCCGCAAGATGGCAAGCGGCCTGACGCCGCGGCTTACGCAGGCCGCCAGCGCAGCACACCGCGTGGAGAAGATGGGGAGACCAAAAAGTACCTATACTGCTACTCCCCGGAAATCTCCCGGGGTGCGTTCTGACCAGCATCTCGAGGCGAACACTGCGGTGGCGACGAGGGCCGTCCAGGAGGCCGGAACAGGGAAAACGGGCGGAGAGTAGCAGTATCGGTACCCTTTCCTCCTGTGAGACACGGGCTCCGCCGTTTGCGTCGCTTAACGGGTTCGACGGCGCGCTCAGGGCAAGAGGAAGCGGGGGAGGGAGAGGAGGAGCGAGGAGCGAGGAGGAGGAGGAGGAGGAGGAGGAGGAGGAGAAGGAGGAGGAGTAGGAGGATGCGGGCGCCGACTGGCAAGCGTCCGCAGAAACGAACGCCCTCAGGCTAGAGAGAAGCACGGAAGGGCGGCGCGCCTGGAGCGAGCTGGCCCATCACTATGCGGTGGAAAGCGGCCGCCAACGGCGGCAGCGAGGCAGCACGGCGACGACGACGGGCGACAACCGACGATGACGCCGAGGCCGAAAAACAAAACAAGTTAGTCATGATCATCCGATGTCCCACCCGCCCGCTCCGCCCGAGCCTCCACCCCCCCAGAAGAAGCGGCCCCCTCCTATCGGAGGGGCCTCGACACCAGGCTGGGAATAGTGCTGAGCGGTGCGGGGCCATCCTGCAAGGCTTCGCCTGTAGACGGGTGGAGGCCTCTCGCGGCTTTGGCCAATTTTCGGAGCTGCTTATCACGGGTCGATGGAACCTGGGAGGGCCCACGACACGGAACCCTCAGAGCTCTCTCGAGCCCATGGGGCAGCGCCAGAAAACCAGCACACTCGGCACATATCAAGACGCGGCCACGTCTCTCAACAGCGTGGCCGCGCTCATTAAATTCACGGACGGCAGCGGCCCCCTCATCTCCCGTAGGGTCTCCAGGCGGAGGGGGAGGCGGAAGCAGACCAGTAGCCACTAGGGCTTGGTCCGCCTCCGCCAGAGCAGCAGCCTTCCAAGGCCGAGCTCGACTTCCACAGGAACGGAGCCACTCGTGGCCTTTTAAGGCCGTGACCGCCGCAAACCGACAAAACTGGGACGGGCCGCTGCAGAGATGAATCAGCGCGCTGGTCGTCCAGGCACCGACAAAAGCAAGAAACGCAACGCACCTCGCCAACACCACCATCCTGTAAGAAGGCGTGACCATGCAGGATGATCTGCGGCAAAGGTGGGTCCTTGTAAAAGTCAGGGGATGGCGGGGCGTCGGTCCAGCGCTTCGACCTGGCAATTCTGGCCGCAGCCCAGGCGATGTAATCAACTGCGGCCCGATGAGACTTGAGCTCACCTGCAATCGCCTCAGCCATCGCACGAACAGTCATCGCGCGAGCCGAAGCCAGTTTGGCAAACACACCGGCCCAATCATTGCCAATCCACGTGGCAGGGTCAAGCCCTCGCTCAAGATCTTCCTAGGTTGAGGCGCGCACGGGTCCACGCGAAGGAGGGGGGGGGATAGTCAGGAGGCCGACGCGCGGCTGCCGCAAACACAGGACGCCATATCGCAGCATACTTCTTCATGCCACAAGCATCCTCAGGATCCCAAGCCTTCCCTTCTTGAGCTAGGGAGAGCAGGTCCGAAACAAAAACCTCCAAATGCGGGTCGCGCCGAACGGCGTGGAGAAGCGCGGTTCTCTCCGCGCGACCGGCGGTTCGAACGGCCCCCATCCAGCGAGCCGAACGCGGCCTGAACAGGATAGAGCTGGTCATGAAAAATGGACAATAGCCCAGCCAACTCTCCGAACCTCTGGCACGGCCGGGGCCCGAGCGCTTCCGCCCCCACAGATGACAAGCCCCCGCCCCCCACCAACGTCCCCAAACTCCCAAACCTCAGAAGTTCCAGGCGGGGATGGGAGCTGACTAGAGAGCTTTGGGAGCCCATGGTTAAGATATAAACTGTCGTAGTCTGGATCTGGCGGGGGGCGGTGTCCAATCGCTCGAAGAGCATCCCGATGAGACGCGTGACGATCGCGCAAAACACCAACCCCAGCCAACGCTTCGCTCTCGTCGGGCCACAAGGACGCAGGACAAGCACACCCAAAATGCCCGAAAGATCCATCCTTCGACCCACGTGCAGAACAGTGGGGCTGAATGTTTTTTCCCCAGGCAGCAAGGCGGGCAGGCGCTGGGCATCGATCAGCCCACAGCCCGCGAAGCGCGCCCATCGGCGCCTGCGTCAGGTCTCGAAGCCCCAGACGAAGAGCTCGCTCCCAGACATCACGAGTAGCTTGCTGGATGGGCCAGTGGCACGTCAGCTTATGCACCTGCTAGCGATTGACCGCATCTTCCAAGAAAACTTTCACATCAGCTGGTGCCGCTCGTAGAAGATCGCGGGTCTCTCCCAGATCGCTGCGCCAGTGGCGCGGAGAGACGAAGTCTCGGCAAATTCTCTTCAGCGCGATAAAAGCAGCACCGAGGGGTCCTCGCACCCCTGCCCAGGCGAGGCCCTTGTCGCTGATGCGATCCACCAAGGCCTCCCGAGCGCGCAACAGTTCACTCAGAGATGCGCGAACGTCTCATGCAAAGCAATGGTATCTGCGCGAAAAGGATGTCGTTGCATCAAACACTGGATCATAACGAATCCGCCATTGACAGTATAAGTCGGCCGTCTTGCGCGCCCGAGGGGGCGCTCCAACCACCATCGCAGCAACTGTGCGAGCCGTAGCCATGCGCTGTCACTCACCCCAGAAACACCAGCACCATGAGCAACGGCAGGCTGAGCACCCGCTCCCGAGAGAAATGATGCCTTCCGTCCTGCGGCGTTCTGGGAGATCTGTAGCCGGTGCCGTCGTCGTTGAAGATTTCGTAGTCGAGACTTCTCTTGCAAGCGAAAGGGTCGGATTCCCATGGTCTCGTGGCCGAAATTGCGCATCCAGCATTTCAGCTGAAAGTTGGAAGCCCTGACCAGCCGCCCGGTGGAATGCGTGCCTACGAGGATGCCAGACTTCTTGTCAGCGAAGCACGAGCCCAAAATGCGCGAGCCCTCCTGGAACAGTCCCACCGCAAGCTGCAAGACCTCGATCCATCAGAACCAGGGCCAGCGCACAACACCGATACATCGTCAATGAACGCACGGAGTACAAGATGTCCGTGGACTTCTCGCACCCGAAGAAGCGCTCGTAAAGTGAGCACCTCAAGCGCGCAGACCGCATGCGCGCAGCCAGCCAATATTCCCTGGTCAGCCCGCAGCGGATAAGAGAAAACGCCGCACCCCTTTAGCCGACGCGGGAGGCGATACATCCACAGCAGCACGAACATCACCCTGGGCGGGCAGCCGAGAACGAGGGCCTCCCTGAACAGCTGCGACGGTCGGACAAGGTGGAACGCTTTAGTGAGATCCAGCAAGACCGTTGCAGTAAAGAAACCTCTCAATACAGCCATCTCTGAAGCCAACTTGTGCGCAAACGCACTGTCCGAAGAAGTTTTTCGAGAACGATTGCCCCAAACGTACCCACGCTGGTGATATCGCTCCCATGGTCGAGATATGCCGCGCCGAAGTCGCCCCCGCACTTGCTGGAGCGCATGGGCCACCGCGATCAACCCATGTCCTGCATCAACTTTCGGGATACAGCGCATCATGGACCGTGACCTGTCTGCAGGCCGGTCAAGAAGCCTCTTGCATGTAGTGAAGAACTGAATAAGCATGCCCAGCGTCTCGCCCGATAGTGTCACAACATTCGCGGATGCAAAGCAAAGGGCCCAGTCGGCGCGCGCTTGGGAAAGGTCAACAAAACCCGCCGCAAGGTGT